TTATATGTAGTATTTCATTTAATTCTCAGAAAAACTCTTATATGTTGTGAATTATCCCTGTTTTAAAGATGAGGAAACCAAAGTACAGAGAAGAAAACAAATTTGCCCAAACCAGCTAGTAAGTGGCAGAGTCATTAGGTCTGTATACCACAGTGTCCCCAAGTAATGGCTAATTGGGAATCAATGGCTATACTGTCAGACAAAAGGAAGTCAAGGAGGTTGGAGTCTGCATAATCTAACATTTCAACATTAGCCCCATGAGGAACTGGACCTCCCCTAGGCACTACGCTACCAGAGCTCCTACACAATTTTGGTCTCCTGGGTACTGTACCTGACTCAGGACAACTTCCCACCAGGCCCTAGGTCTCTGAGTCTAGAGGGCCTGACTGCTTTCTTACCTGCACACTTCTCATCAAATCTGGCTTGCTGTTGCTCCTGTAGCTGCCTCTCCAGGCTGTACCTAAACTGGTCTTGCTGCATTCTCAGGATTGTAGCCCTGTCCGTATCCTCCCGAGAGAAGCACTGGAGGCTGGCTGGGCCGCAATGGGGATCACTGTCACCAAGGCAGGCTGGAAACTCCTTCTGAAGTCTGTTTGGATCCCAAAGGTCAAATTCACGTCTGTTCTTGGGCTGCTGCTTCTGCTCCCGAAACTCCTGGATTTTCTTGGCGAACTGACGTGTCCTTTCTCCTTGTTGCTTCTCTAACATTTGGGCTACTAGATCATACTCTACCTGGTCAGTACCTGGAGGTGGTGGGCAGGGACATGGAGAAGGCACCACAGGAGGAACAGAGCCCACCCAGTATGACCTCTGCTCTTAAGGCCCATCTGATTTACCTTACCACCTCTGGCCCTCAGGCCCCACTCAGGCCCTTACTTTACCCCATACTACCACCTGGCCCCTGGCTGTGGGCTTTTACCATAAGCTGCATCCCTGCTCCGCTCTGTCGCCTTCCGAAGCTTTTGCTCTGCAACCTGGCTGTTTAGTGCTTCAACATCCACCTGATTCCAAAGAAATAAGCTAAGTAAGGGTAGGGGCTCATCAGGAGGCCTTTGATTCATTAACAAAACTGCTTACAATTTAACTATTCCTATAGAACTCAGTACATACTGGATAAAATTCCAATACCTGAGCATGGCTTTCTAAGTCCCCCAATGACCTAGGCTGTGCCTCCTCTAGCCTCATCTCTTAGTATCCTCTACACATCTTAGGCTGTTTCAAACCTACAGGCCTTTAACAAGCTGCTCTCTCCACTTGGAACACTCTTTCCTCCCTTCTTTACCCCAACTCCTA